CAGGCTGGAATGCAGTGACATGATCATAGCTCACTGTAGTCTGAAACTCCCAGGCTCAAGTGATCCTTCTGGTCTCAGCTTCTCAAAGTGCTAGGACCACAGGCATTCACCAATCATGTCCAGCTAATTTTAGTATTTTTTTTGTAGAGATGGGATCTTGCTATTGTCCATGTTGGTCTTAAACTCTTGGCCTCTAGCGATCCTCCCGCCTCGGCCTCCCAAAGGGCTGAGATTACAGGCGTGTGCCACCAAGCCTGGCCCAGAGACAGGGTCTTTATGGGGATGATTCACTTAAAATGATGTCATTAGGGTGGGCCCCCATCCCTATGACTGCCGTCCTCATAAGATGAAATCTGGACACAGAGACAGGCACAAAGGGAGGACGATGTAAAGACCCAGGGAGAGACGGCTGTGTATGAGCCAACAGAGAGAGGCTTGGAACAGATCTCACAGCCCTCTGAAGGCACGAACCCTGCCAACACCTTGATCTTGAATGTGATCTTAAACGTCTGGCCTCTAGAACTGCGAGCCAATATATTTCTGTCATTTTGGCCACCCAGCGTGCGGTTCTGTTACAGCAGCCCTAGCAAACTCAGGCACCCAGCAACAACAGCCATGAAACACCCCTAGCGGGGCTCCTTCTCTTGCACACACAGCCCTGTGCAGCAGGGCAGAGAGGGGTTTTAAACAAGTGAGTCAGACAAGGATATCTTATTCATCGCTCCGACGAACCCACGGGCTGAACCCTTGAATCACTACTTTATTTATCATCGGGCTCCGGCTCAGAAAGTCTGGCTGAGGAAATGAGTAGAACCCAAACGCGTCAGCTGCATTTCTGAAACATGCCTAATCTCTGAGGCTCTTTCCCAGCCACGATAGAAACTGAAAGGGAACGGGGCTCTGGGCTGTGGCGGTGGGCTGGTGTGGAGACAGAGCCCTTTGTTCTGCCACTCCAGGGACCACGAGGGCAGAAGAGAAGGGCTTGTCTTGCTCTGCCGAGAGGCCGCCCGGGGCTGTCTGAATGGCCGGCCGAGCAGGGGCAGCCTGGCACAGCTGGGCTGGGGATGCCGGGCACACAAAGGGCTGGTGGGTGGGGTGCGGGGGCAGCGCCCAGAAGGGACCGTCAGTCCCGTGGCCCTAGAGCGTTTCCTCCAATCAAAGGAAAGCAGCAAAGTCACGGTCAAGGAGGGGGCCAAGCAGGGAAGGGGAGAGCAAGATAGACCAAGAACAAAAATTCAGCAGTGTGTGCTTGGGAACGGGTGGGCGAAAGGGTCCACGGAAGAGATAACGCAGCTTACAAAAGCGACGTTTATCCAGGGCAACCTCCAAAGTAGCTCTTGGGAGAGAATCTAATACCTCTAATCTCAGAAGAAAAGCAACAGATCGTTCTAAGACGAGGACAGTTCCTCCAGAAATCCAGGTCAGTCATAAGACAAAGAAGAGAAAGACAAGGGCACCCGCTGTCCACCCTCGGGCACGTTGCCTAACCCCCCCCACAGTCAGTTCCTAACTGTTCCTCCTTTTTATCGAGACCCGCTCCCTCCGATTAAGAACTGACTGGATGGCAGGATTCAGTTCCTGGTCTCTGCCCCCGTTCCCACTCTTAGTGGCAGTTTCTCAGGGGGCTCCACAAACACCAAGGACCCACTGAGGCAACGATGGGCCCTAGAGGGGAACCAGGTTGTACTAATGAGCATCACATTTCACCTGCGGAGGTGATTCTGCCTCCACCCCCCCCCCCCCCAAGGGGACACGTGGCCATGACTGGAGTCATTTTCAGTTGTTACCCCTTAGAGGGGACGGAATACTACTGGCATCTCATGGGTGACAGCCAGGGACACTATTCAACGTTCTACAGTGCACAGCCCCAAATGTCAATGGTGGTGCGGTTGAGAAACTGCCCTGGAGATCTGGGCTTCCCCAGTTAAAGGTTACTAAGGATCCTGCATGTTTCTAGAAAGCTCAAGGAACCATCTCTGAAGTTATCACCTGCCTGGGCCTTTCTGTATCAGGAAGATAAGAACAAGGACCCTCGTGCTGCCGGTTGGCAGAATGAGAGAGCTGGGATGCTCTGTACAGGCCGGGCTTCAAAGGTATCTGCTTGAGCAATCCCTTCTGCCCGGCGTGGTTTAACATGTGGTATCTTTCCAGGTTTGACCTGGGGCCAGCCACCACTTCCAAGGAAACCTGCTGGAATCCCCCTTGTCCTAAAGCTTGCATTGGTTGTTCCTAATTCTGCCCCCATAATATCTTGTGGCCCCTCTGTTGCTGTACTGATGACCTGATCTGAATTCCATTCCTTTTTATTTTTTTATTTGTTTATTTTTGAGGGTGTCTCGCTCTGTCCCTCAGACTGGAGTGCAATGGCACGATCTTGGCTCACAGCAACCTCCACCTCCTGGGTTCAAGCAATTCTCCTGTCTCAGCCTCCAGAGTATCTGGGATTATAGGCACACACCACCACACCCGGCTAATTTTTGTATTTTTAGTAGAGACAGAGTTTCTCCATATTGGTCAGGCTGGTCTTGACCTCCTGACCTTGTGATCCACCTGCCTCGGCCTCGGAAAGTGCTGGGATTACAGGAGTGAGCCACCGCGGCCTAGCCTGAACTCCATTCTTTCTGAAGAGGAAGTGCAAGGTTGCGGCGGGGGTGGGAGTGGTGGGAGGGGGGCACCTCTGTCCCCAGGAATCTACCAAGCGCCTGGCACAATCAGCCCTTGCCTAACTGAAATCTAGGCCCACCCAAGACACACCATTTGGAAGAGATGAGGAATGGGAGGCAGCAAGTTAACAGGTCCCGGTGTGGAGAAAATAATGAATCCTACAGCCAAATAGAAAGGGGAGATTCCCACATCTCTACCTGCTCCACTGAGTCACCAGACTGGACCCGAAGGAGGGTACTGCCTCGGGATTTCCAGAAATTTGCAGTTTCCAAAGCTTTGGGAATAGGTGCAATGTGCAAAAGCACTTTCGACAATGCAATTTTTTATTTGGACGATGAAGAAGCGGTAAAAATCAATCAACCAATCAATCAATCAATCAATCATTTTTGGATATAAACTGTACAATACAAAACGGAATAAAAGCAGGATCATTGTAGCCAGGAATGAAGAGTGGGGGTGCTGTGTGGAGTTCAAGGCCGGGAGTGGGGGGGACATGGACTGGAGACAAGACAGTGATGAGAAGAGTTGGGTTTCACGTTGAAAAACGCTGATGGAGGTCAATTCATTCATTTTGCAGGTGAGAGGACAGAAACAGGAACAGAGACTTGAGCAAAGCCAGGATCTCCAACACAGTGCTTCCTCCACAAGACCCTGCTTGGCCATTCTCTAGCGGCAGGAAGAGGTGATCGCAGGGCTGTGGGATCAGAAGATCCCGGTCCTGTTCATTGGGGTGTCTTGGCCAGGGCAAGCCCACAGTTCAATGTCTGCAGGAGGCATGACTGTGGGCTGTCACTGCATGTCCTGGGGCAAGCCAGGCCAAAGCCACCTTTCCTAAAGGCTAGGATATTCTGGAAGTGAAGGGGGTACTTATCTTTCTGTGGCCCTCTTTATATTCCAACTACCCAGGTTCATCTCCTGAATGAGCTATCAACTAAATATAAGCTGGGGTTCCCCAGCCCTTCTGGCAGATCCCAGATTAAGATCTCTACAGTTGGGAAAGGGGAGAAAGCACCCTGCACAAAGTCCCTGCCAGGGCCACAAGAGTCAGGCCTGTCAGATGTGAGTAACTTTCCTGTCTCCCAGGTCACCTCCAGCTACTCCTGGACACCCTAAGATTCTGAAGACTCCAACACCAAAAAACAAACCGAGTTAGGACCCGCTGGCTGCAAAACACAGTGTCCCCACCAGCTCCCACCTCAGACAGAGGCACAGAGAAGCCTTCCCTTAAAGACCCCTCGCCTCCAGGGTGCCCAGGAAAGAAAGGAGGACTGGTGGCTGTCGTGCCTCTCCAGGGCTGAGCTCAGAGCAACCGGGGGACAGATTTCCTGTATGTCGTTTTACCCATTTAAGTCCAAGGATGCAGCTCTGCGGAGGTGGCAACAGTCCTGTACATGAGGGTGCATGCACACTCCCTCCTGAAAAACAGTTCCGGCCTCACAGCCGGCCCTGAGGTCTTTTCCTTGGATCGAGGGAATCCCAGAATCCCGCTAGTCCTGTCTTAAAGGGAGGGTGGTGCCGTTTCCAAGACCAGGAGACTGGCACAGAGGGTGTTGGGACACGTCCCCGGTCACCCAGCTGTTGAGTGTGAAGTCAGGAAGGACATGAATCAAGAGGGGAGGGTGGGCGGGACGGAATCTCCAGGAGCTGCACCTCAACATCTATCTGCACGGGGCCATTCTAACCCCTTCCTTCTCTTCCCTCCTCTCCTGGCCCTCCCTCCCTAAGCCTACCCTTAGTTCTTACCATGACTTCTACTCCATTTACTTCCCTTTCAGCTCCCATTTCCCTGCTTCCCAATAGCCGGCTGCCGCATCAGTTAGTTCAGAACCCCCCGCACTCACTGAGCGCCCACTGGGGGCCAGGCGCCGCCCTCTTCTCAGACACCCTTCCTTCAATCGCGCGGGCAGACGTCCCCAGATTGGTCTCGCACCCCTTCCCCCCAACCGCACCCCGGCTGTCCCGCCACTGGCCTTGCCCACTCCCCCAGCCTGGGCCTCTCGTTCCCGCCTCCTTGCCTCCCCACAACGCCGTTTCCTGCGACCCCCCAATTACCACTTAAGCCACGTCCTCTTCAGAGAAGCTGCTCAAAGCCACAAGACTCACCCCCCCCACGCCCGCGAACTCCCTCACCAGCTCCATCTCCATCCACTTTCTCCTTCACCATCTCGCTTCCAACTCATCCCCAGCAACCTCTCCAAGACCCCTAGGCTCGTTCCCGCCCCCTCGACCCCTGCCGTCGCGTCCCCCATCAGCCCTCAGCTCCGTCCCTCTTCTGCGCAGCCCCCACAGGCAGGCTTCGAGCTCGAGTCGCCAACCCGAGGCCGCCTGGAACTCACCTGGCCTCGGCCGCCGCGCGCCGCCGGTCCCGGGCCGGGTCCCCGGCCGGACGACCGCCTGCCCGCCCGCCGCTGCTCCGACCGCTCCGCCCCGCCGCGCCCGCCGCTCCCCCGCGCGCTCCCGCTTCCGGGTTCCGGAGGGGCGGGGACGGGGGCGTGACGCCAGCGCGCCTAGGGGGCGGGACATCGCGAAAAGCCCCGCCCCTACTTTCCGACAGCTCAGGCCCCACCCACCACCACAACCCCCTACAGCCGATGGTGGGCGAGACCAAGCGCGAGGGGAAGACAGGCAGTGCACGCGTCGGGGGCCGCAATCTCCGCATTTAGCCGGCGCTGCCCTACGCCTGGCAGCCACCCCTCCTGAGGCTCCACAAATGGTCCGACCCGCAAGCAAGTGGGCGGGTCCGGCTTTGAAAAGCCGGCGGGTCGGGCCTTGAGGTGGAAGGCGGGAAAATGGCGGATTCCTCGGGGCGCGGCGCTGGGTGAGTTGAGGCGCCCGCAGGTCTGGATTTGTAGACGCCAGAGGGCTGGAGAGGATGGGCAGCGGAGTTGGGGAGTGGGGACCCTCGGGGTGAGTTCGGGTTCGACCCCGCCAGAAACTGCGCGGGCCCCTGAACACCCCGATGGCGTGCTGCCTCTGCGCATGCTCCGGAGCGCGGACACCCGACCGGCCCCGAGTTCCGCGTCCTCGGCTGGGACGCGGGGCGACCTCGGGCAAGCAGCCTGACCGCCCGGTGCTTCGCTTCCTCCGCTACGAAATGGGGCCGATGACGCAGCTCAACCTCGTAGGCGTCGTGTGAGGCTGAAACGCGCTTAGATCGGCGCCTGGGTCTTTACTGTGATGTCGCTCTTGGAATTACCGTTATGCGGTGAACAAGTGGTGGGCGACCAAAGTATCCCCTTTAATCCTCCCATGAGCTTTATTATGTGCTCCCAGTTTACTGGGGAGATGATGGAGACCCAGCGAGGGGAAGTGACTTGCGTAGGGTAACACCCCATGAGCAAGAAAGAAGTTGAATAGTGACCGAGAGCTAGGCATGAGTGATCCTGAGGCTGTATTTGTCTAGTTTTGTTAATTCTGCCAATGTTGATCGTGCCAGGTGCAAACTGAAGTGAAATTGGACAGCAAGAGGAATCACTCCACCGCCCCTTGGCCGTAACCGATAGATTGACAGTAGCACTTCCCAGGTACAGGTGTACCTGAGGCTCGCACAGGTTGTAGGGACCCCCCTCAGGTCGCAGCAGGTTCACCCAGGAGCCCATTCGGTTTGAGGCCACAGCCCTAGCTCAGTCCCCAGAGGGAATCTGTGCTCTTGTCTCTTTCTGGCTCTGAGACTGCCCCGGGGGTGACCTATGTAAGACCTGTGTGTCTTTGTTTTGCAGCGAGGAAAAAGGAGGAAAAAGCAGGTGTGAACCGTTAGGAAGCTGTCGGGTTAGGAGGAGCCTGTGGGCGACCACAACTCCTGGCACCTGGCGAACATTTACTAAGTTGCGTCTCCCCACGGTGGCCTGGAAGTGTCCCCAGCATTGCCTGGGTCTCACTTTGGGGTGCTGGGAGCCCGCTTCAGAGGAGGTGGCCGCAGGGACCAGTGGAGCCGCCCTTGGTGATGGGAGCAGGAGTTACAGTGCCCTGGGCGTGGTCCTGCCCCTTCACTTGCCCCCCCCCCACTACTTGCCCCTCCTGTGTTGCTGGTGTCTGTTCCTGGATCTCTTCTCTTCCCGCTAGATCAGGCTGAAACCCTGAAACCCCTAGTCATCCCAGACTCTCCCTCTCCTGCACCCCCACGGCTAATGAGTCAGCGATTCCTATCTCAGGGTTCCTTCTTTCCTATTACATCAGGCTTCATTCTATTTTTATTTGTATTTGTATTTATTTATTTACTGAGATGGAGTCTCACTCTGTTGCCCTGGCTGGAGTGCAATGGCGTGATCTTGGCTCACTGCAACCTCTGCCTCCCCGGTTCATGCCTTTCTCCTGTGTCAGCCTCCCGAGTAGCTGGGACTACAGGTGCACGCCACCACCCCGGCTCATTTTTGTATTTTTAGTAGAGATGGGGTTTCACCATGTTAGCCAGGATGGTCTGGATCTCCTGACCTTGTGATCCACCCGCTTCAGCCTCCCAAAGTGAGGTAACTGCCAGGACCACTCCTAGTACCTGTCTGTCAAGATGTTGATCTTCCCTTTCTTTGAAGGAGCTCTGTGTTTTGTTCACCACTGTGTCTCTACTGGTATACAGTCAGTGCATCAATGTCTGGTGAATGAATGAACCCAGGGATAATTTGAGATCTCCTGCGATCTCTTCCACGGAGCTCTCATTACCGTCGTCTCTTCTCAGTTCAGATGTTCACCTATGCCTTCTTGCCCAGGTGACCAGGGCTGGCTACTCCTTTTGTCCCTCTTCCTGTTGAGGTGGCTCAGCCTCACTGAAATTGTCCTCAGACAGCCCTTGGACTGGGCTATCTGAGCTTCAACTAGCAGAGGCACCTCGCCGGCTTCCCTGTGCTTCTTGGGCAGTGAGATGAACAAGACCTCTCTCTTCTCTTGCAGGAAGCCTGCAACCGGCCCCACCAATCCTAGCAGCGCCAAGAAGAAGGAGAAAAGAGTTCAAGGTGAGCAGTGTCAGGATCTCTTTAAGGAACATGGTTTTCTTCTTTCATTACTTGCTTTTGGAGGAAGGAAAAAACAGGCCAGAAAAGGCGACCTATGGCTTTACTTCCTTGTAGTCACACCTCTGGGGATTGTGGATTTGGCCGTCCCAGCCCTGCGGCGAGGGCTGTGTCAGGAACCGTGGTGGTCATTTTGAGCAGTGGCTTCCCTTGCGGCCATGGGGGTCATGGACTGTGTCCAGGACATGTCCCCTGGAAGCGTGGGTGCGGAGACCATGGAGATCATTATCTAAAATCAAACTCTTGTCTTTTTTTTGAGACAGGGTCTCGCTCTGTTGCCCAGGCTGGTCTCGAACTCCTAACCTCAAGTGATCCTCCTGCCTCCGCCTCCCAAAGTGTTGGGATTACAGGCATTAACCACTGCCCCCGGCCTAAAATCAAACTGTAAATTCCCACTGCGTAAGCGTGTCAGTCTCATGAGGGGTGCCTGTACGTCTGATGTCCACCTATTGGTCTGGGGTCACCGTTAACAGCCTCCCCTACAAGCCAGGATCACACCGCTGCACTCCAGCCGTCGGTGGTGATGGAGGTGAGGGGACTCTGTCTCCAACAAACCCAGAAAAAAGCGCCAAAGGCAATAATGGCCTCACATGGTGGGGCTCACTGCCTGTATCCCAGCACTTTGGGAGCGCGAGGCGGTGGCGGATCATGAGCGAGATGTTCGGAGGGCTCAGCCTGACCAACGTGTGGTGAAATCCCATCTCTACTAAAAATAACCAAAAAATTAGCTGGGCATGGTGGTAGGTGCGCCTGCTACATCCCAGCTACTCAGGAGGCTGGGGCTGGAGAAGTGGCTTTGAGCCCCGGAAAGTGGTGGGAGGTTGCTGTGAGCCACGACCACCGCCACTGCACTCCAGCCTGGGTGATGAGCGAAAGTCTATCTCAAAAAAAAACAGGAAATGCTCGGTTGCATGGTAGATTTCTATGAGTGCTCCCTCCCAAAATCGTTGGAGGGTCAAGACAATGATACAACGAGGTATCTTTTCTCAGTGTGTGGCAGTGTTGCCAGGGCCCGGATCAGTGAGCTTTAGAGCAGGATTTTATTTCCAAGTGAGGCAAGGTTTGTGTGTTTCAGCATCGCTGGGTGAGTTGTCTTTTTATTTCCCGACCACTTATTCCCAAGTTCTAAACATCGCATGTTAATCTCACATATGACACCTGGCATATGTATGAGCTACCTCATTCTTGGACAAGAATTGTATCCTTCTTTATAACATTGCTTCTGTGGAAAATTCAGCCTGTTTGTTTATTTGTCTATTTATTTTTTTGAGATGGAGTCTCACTCTGTCACCCAGGCTAGAGTGCAGTGGTGCAATCTTGGCTCACTGCAGCTCCTGCCTCCCAGGTTCAAGCGATTCTCTGCCTCAGCCTCCCGAATAGCTGGGATTACAGGTGCGCGCCACCACCCTGGCTCATTTTTGTGTTTTTAGTAGAGACAGGGTTTCACCATGTTGGCCAGGCTGGTATCGAACTTCTGACCTCAAGTGATCCGTCCACCTCAGCCTCCCAAAGTGCTGGGATTACAGGCGTGACCCACTGTGCCTGGCCAGCCTGTTTAAAAAGTTGTATCCTAGTTTTCTGGAAACTTGAAAGTGCTTTTCTTTCCCTCCCGTCCAAGGCAGCCCAAGCCTGAGATGCTTCTTGTTGAGTAAAACTGTTTGCTGATACTACTAGAAAGACCCGGGCTGGATGGTCTCTCTGCTGGGAACTGGGGATATCCTTTCTCTCAGCTGTTCGATCATCATCCAGGGGGAGACTCTTTATGTGGCTTGGTTCTGTCCCTGGGACCCCACCTGGTCTTGGCCTCAGCCCTTAGAGACCTGTATCATGAGAATGGTCTCCCAATTGTCCATATCTGCCGGGCACCCACCTGCACCCACACTGGCTCTGCAGGCATGGCGCATTCCTGCCCTGAGGCTGCCCAGATTGACAGCCCGGCCCTTTGGCTGACTGCAGGATCCTTGTTAACTCTTGAGGGCACCTCCTTTCCTCTCAAGGTAGCAGCTGCAGCCCCAGTCCCCAACAGAAGAATCAGCTGGCGCAAAGATGTGGTTGAAGTCACAATCTCACTTGACTGAACTCTCAAGCTGTGTGACATTGAGGATGTCGCTCTCCCTGGGTTTCTTCAGTACAAAGGCAAACCTCTGAGCTCTATGGCACTGATACGATGCAGAACTATTCTTTTTTGTTTTTTATGAGACAGAGTCTCACTCTGTCACCAGGCTGGAGTGCAGTGGCACAATCTCGGCTCACTGCAGCCTCCGCCTCTCGGGTTCCAGCGATTCTCCTGCCTCAGCCTCCCAAATAGCTGGGATTACAGGCATGTGCCACCACGCCTGTCTAATGTTTGTAGTTTTAGTAGAGACGGGGTTTCTCCATGTTGGCCAGGCTGGTCTCGAACTCCTGATCTCAGGTGATCCGCCTGCCTC